TATATATATATATATATATATATATATATATATATATACACATACACACACACACACACATATATATATATATACACACACACACAAAAGTATATATACTTTTGACAAGCTTCACCTACCTTCATCATTTAGGAGACGTGGTTTGACAAACAAACATCTGTTGGTGGTTTCATTTGAATCCAGTTTGTAGATGTATTCATACTCATACTTCTGCTTTTTTGCTTTATATACAACATACTTGTATGGTATGGACACAGCTTCTGCACTGGTCTTCTTGCATACGAATTTCCCCTCGATAAGAAATCCATGCTCACCGAGATCCCTAAAAATCATATTATTTTCAAATAAATGGTTTCAGTAATGAATAATCGATAATTGGTCCAGAAAAACTTTACTAACCGTGACACAGACAGCTCGACCAAATTATTTTCCCAGTCACCAAGGCAACCACCGGCCCTTATGAAGATAAGATCTTCTTCTAGGTTAAATTTGAAGTCTTTTGACAAGACTGCATGAAAGTAAATTGTCAGTCTGTCACTGGAACTTATATGTTGAGCTGATGCTGGATTCCTGTAGTTCAAAAATATGAAAATAATCATGTAAAAACAAATTGCTGTGAAGAAGTGCATTTATCACACAATTCTGTATACCTTTTTGGTGGCACGTCACACTGACTTTTTGTATTGTCATTTTTATTGTGTTTCTGGTCAGCAGCAGAATCTTTCTTTTCATGTGAAGACTGCTGCTTCTTACTGTGCACAGCCTTCACTGCTGCATCTCTGCTGGAACCCTGATTCTTCTACACATAAAATAAACCAAAATAGTCAAAATTCAATTTCTATTTGTCATTTTCAGTAAGACCAATGTTTTGGTTTTCGGTCCGTGTATGTTGCGTTCATTAATTTTTTTAAATTATTATTTTATTTAATATTGAAAACATAAACATGAGAAAACTAAATATTTTTCTTAATTTTTTTCTTTTTTCAAAAAAAAAAAAAAAACGAAAAGAATTTGCCTTGATTTTTAGTTTTTATGTTTAGGGGTAAAAAATGGGTAAACCGCTTGAATATTCGATTTACACGTGTGGGCGGTAATGAAACGCCCCTTTTCACTGATTGGTCAATCAAAGATCAAATGGTGCGATCATCATGTCTTCTTCAGTTCCGTGCAACAGAATAACGGTCTTCCACTGCTATAGTTAAAGCGTTTATTGCAACTACATTTCATCTCTCTCCCATCAAACAACCAGACTAGCATGGCTTTGACAGTGCCTGACTGCTTACTGTGTTGAGACATGCTGAAGTCGCGTTTGATTTCATGCTGTATCGCGTACCTGTCAGATTCATGCGCTTGCTTGGCCCTTTGTTGTGTTAAACATTAAAGCGTGGTTAAGCGCAGCAAAAAGACTTGAACAGTGTAAAGAAAGACTCGAGAGAAGCAGTCAATCAGCTGAAGTTGAAAGCAGCGTGTAAGTGTATTTATTTCTTGTCTCAGTTTTTAGCGCAACTGACGTTGCTAGGAAATGCTTGTTTTGTTTACGGTGTTGAGAAGTCGCGTTTGGTCTCGTGCTGTATCACGTACCTTGTCAGTTTCGTGCGCTTGCTTGGCCCTTTGTTGTGTTAAAACACTAAAGCGTGTTCAGCTTAATTCAATTAGTTTGTCAGACGGGTATAAATAAGGTTAGTATACCGCGGCAGTGGTCACGGCAGTCCACGTATGAAGACCAAAGTGTGTAAAGACCAACGACTCTACCTGTGCGACTCCACCGAAAAAGGACACAGACAAGGGACATAAATGTCGCTTTTTATTCGTCTTCTTTCCTACAACTTGTTTCAGTTCTCTTTCAGTTTTTATGACCAATATTTACTATGCGTTTCCAAATCCCTACTATTACTAACACTCACAAACCACGCATCACACACTGTAGGCAGCGCAATCCTGACAACCTGTGCATTTTGTCTGTGTCTTCAAATACACTCCTTTTGGTAACACTATCTATGAAGCCCGTATTTATAATACATTATACGGGTATTCTTAAGGCATTATAATGAATGCATAATGTATTATAAAAAACTTATAATATATTGTATCATCTCATGAGTAATCATAACAACAGTTTTACTGCACTATAATATTTACTTATTTGTGGTTATAGCTTTTAAGAGTATGGTTATTTATAACACACAATGAACACAATGCATCCACTTAACTTACAATGGATTATATTTCCCATAGTTATGTATTATAAGTCTCATATCTTGCCATTGTTAAGATGTTACTTTACTTAAAGCAGAGAAAGACCACTTATAAATAATAACAACAACGACGACGACAACAACGACAACAACAATAATAGTAATAATAATAATAATAATAAATAAAAACAGTATTTTTTTTTAAACAGCCATACTGTCAGATATTTGATCAGATTAATGTGTTATATGCCACATTTGCTTTTAACCATATTTGTAATATCAGTAAGATACTGTGCAGATCTTAAATAAAAAAAATGTCAAGATATGAGATTTATAATCCATTATAAATTAAGTGGATTTAAAGGGGTCATATGATGCGATTTCAAGTTTTCCTTTCTCTTTGGAGTGTTACAAGCTGTTCGTGAATAGATAAGACCCCTAAAGTTGCAAAGACTAAAGTCTCAAACCCAAAGAGATATTCTTTTAATACTTTGAGAAAAGTTAAGACTCGTCCACGCCCTCCTAAAACGCCTAGTTTAAACACACCCCCACGCGTCTATGTCACTGTGTGGGAAGATTTGCATAACACCGCCCAAATGTTCACGCAAAGAAAGAAGGCGTAACTTTGATTCTTGCTGTAGCGTTGCTGCTACCGTAGCCACCATGTTCTGGAGACGCTATGTTTCGTTGTGAAAGCGAAACTACTTTGTTTGGTCTTCCAAAAGAGGACACAACTAGAAATCAGTGGTTAAGTTGTATTTACAACACTGTTCCAGAACAGTTCAAACCAAATATTCAGATGTGTGCAGCGCATTTTACGGAGGACGAGGACTGTTTCCTGGGAGAGTAGCCTACAATGCTGGTGTTCTGACAAATAATGCTGACTCACAGCCTGTAAGTACGTTTTCATATTTAAAGGATTTGCCAAACTGATGATTCAAACGCGAGTTTTGAGCAGTGTAGAGCAGTGCTAGTTGTTTGTCGTTTCTCTGATCACAAATGCAGACATGGTTTTATGTTTTTCGCGGAGCGATGCAACGCAACGCATAAAAAGACAGTACATGTCATTATAATCAGTAACTATATCCCCACTGGACGCTACAAATGCCTCGTTTGTAATCGGTTTTATTGGTTTTGTCTCATCGCAACGGGACACGGCATCACAGTATGGTAAGGGGCGTAACATTTCCATCACACACTTGAGGTATTCGGCCAATCACATCACATTGGATAGCTGGCCAATCAGAGCACACCTCGCTTTTCAGACCAATGAGCTTTGTAAAAATCTACGCGTTTCAGAAAGGCGGGGCATAGAGGAGAAACAATAATGTACAGTATGTGGAAAATAATGTGTTTTTTAACCTTAAACCGCATAAACACATTTCATTACACCAAATACACACAATAATTTTCTTTGTTAGCGATGTCATATGACCTCTTTAAAATGGTGTTCATTGAGTGTTATAAATAATCACACTCATAAAAGTTATAACCACAAATAAGTTTTATAATGTATTATAATCGTTGTTATGATTATTTTGACATGAAACAACATATTATACGTTTTTTATAATGCATTATGCATTCATTATAAGTGTCTGCTAAATGACTAAATGTAGACAGGGCTTAATTCTGTGTAGGCATAGATTCTCTATGGCAAATATCAGGTGTTTATTTCAGAAATATGCATGTACTTTTTTTTTTTTTTAAACAAAAAAGGTGCCGTTTTCTCATGTTTCTGTTTTCAATGTTAAATCAAAAAAACAAATGAACGTACACGGACCGTTTCCCCAATATATCAACCAGCATTTGGGTTTATATAAATTATACCTTTAATTTACTCTGTGGGTCAAACACCATATCCTGTGATGATTTCTGTGGTTCCTCATTCTTATTTCTGTAATTTTAAAAGACAAAGTGTATTTATTGGCATTTTTAATTTAACAAAATGGCATAAGAAACCTGGTCTAAAATACAAGCAAACTTATCAAAATTCATCAAAAGATTTGGCATACTTTTTTGGGATGTCCTTATTGGTTTCTGTATCGCCGCCTTCATTTACTTTTTTGGATTCTGGATTCATGTGGTTAGCATGAGCAGACTGCTGCGTCTCACTGTGCTCATCCTTTAACTTTGAATCTCCACTGGAACTGTGATTCTTCTACACAAAAAAACCCCCGAAATGCTCAATTACATTTCTATTGCCAATTTCCAGTAACAGACCAATATATACATTTTCCCAATCAATCAACCAGCATTTGGGCTTTCTGAGATGAGATCTACAGTATATATCATTTGTATTTATTTTTTTTTTACCTTTAAATTACTCTGTGGGCCAAACACCATGTCCAGTGATGATTTCTGTGGTTCCTCATTCTGATTTCTGTAATTTTCAAAGTCAAAGTATATATAAGGGCATTTTAATGAACAAATGGCATGAGCAACCTGGTCTAAAAAAAGAAGCATCATTTATCAAAATTCAACTAAATATTTGGCATACTTTTTTTGGTTGTCCTTATTGGTTTCTGTATTGCCGCTTTCATTTACTTTTTTGGATTCTGGATTCATCTGGTTAGCATGAGCAGACTGCTGCTTCTCACTGTGCTCAACCTTCATCATTGAATCTCCACTGGAACTGTAATTCTTCAGTGGTTCCATGCCCTGATGATCTGTTTCCTTTTGATTGCCTTTGCTGCTTTTTATGTTTGCATTCTGGTCCATAGTAGCACTCTGATCTAGAGTTGTCTGTGCTCTTGTGGACATGCTCTTTTGACCCTTATTCTTAGATTTAATTTTGTTTTTTTCAGCTGTCTGATCTGCTCCCACTGACACTGCTGGAGAATCATTGGCAGAGCTGGTGCTGATTGGCTCTTGGGTCAAATTTAACTTAGATGATTTTAACATTCCAGGTGCTACACAACTCTCCTTGCTACTATTTGACTGCTCAACAGACTGATCTACACCAGCATGGGGTAAAGTTGTGCTGAGTTGTGTTGCCCCAGTGGATTCATTCTCTGGTGGGCTCAGATGAGAGGATGATTCAGCTGGTTTAGGCATGTCATCTACAGAGCAGTAGGAGCCATCACTCTCAAAAGATTGGTCTTCCTCCATTTTCTTCTCTTTATCATTCAGCGATATATCAGAGAGATCAGAGGTCAGAGACGAAGGCCCCTCTGCATCACCTGCTTTTTTCTTCTTTTTCTTTCTTTTCTGTAGGAGCAGGGTGAATAAAATCTGCATCATAAATCACCAATAACGCGTAATAAGAATAGAAACATAATAATAAACATACAAAAAATAAACAAAACAAAAAAAATTCCAGGACTATTTAAATGTTAAAATTGATATTCATGTCCAGCACCTTTTTCTTTGGGTTAGGGTTTATATCTTCATTTGGTCGTTTTGAAGATACACCGGCAATCTGGTAATTCAAAGCTTCTGATTCACGACCAATATCAGTAATTTCTGCATTGGTACTGTGTGGAATGTTTGAGGATGTTTGAGACTCGTCTTGTGGCTTGTCTGATAAACAAAAAACAAAGGTCACACAGCAGTCTCTAAAAAGTAGTCACAACCTCTTATAAAACCTTTGTTCACTCTACACCTAATTCTAGTTTCAAATCCTATATTTAGGACTCACTGTCCGCAATGCCATTCCATTAACAGACAATGGTTCTGTTCAAATGGTGTAGTAAATATAATCTGGCATATCAACATTGCTTGCAACATATTAATGACAAAGTCAACATGGAATGTCATTCTCAGCCGATTTTGGTTCTGTAATTTGAAGTATTTCTAAGTGGAACTGTATAATCAATGAGAAAAAATGTGAGGCCATCCATCTGACAGCTAAAGCTTCGGCAAAATTGGGTCATGCAACAGGACAATAATCTCAAGCACACCAGCAAATCTACAACAGAACGGCTGAAAAAGAAAAGAATCAAGGTGTTGCAATAGCCCAGTCAAAGTCCAGACATCATCCATTCCTGACTGAAATGTTGTGGTAAGAGCTATGAATAAACAAATGCCCACAAACCTCAATAAACTAAAGCAACATTGTAAAGAAGAAAGGGCCAAAATTCCTCCAGAACGTTGTGAGAGACTGATAAAGTATGAAGGCAAATAAATGGCAGAATTTTCATTATTGGGTAAATTATCGTCTGAACACTTTTACAGTCTGTGCACATATCAAGAGTTTCTAAACTGCACAAAATGAGTTAAACCCACATTACAGGTGGTTGGGGAGGAGTTGAAAAGTAAAGGATTTGTGACATCAGCTGAAAAGGAAAGTTGTTTTGGAGGCAGGGAAAATGATCAAAATTTGATGCTCATACAGAAGTCATACTGAAAATGATTACTTAAGTTATTGCTAACTTGTTTAAGTTATTGCTGCTAAAAGTGGATCTACAAGCAATTGAATCATAGGGTGTTCTTAGCTTGTCACCCATGGCTTTTCCATATTGGCTTTATTTTTGCGATATGTCATGTTGTTGTTCATCTAAGGTTTAATTTTCCAAATTTTAAAACCTGCCAAGGACCAGATTATTTTTTATTATGTCCTGATACGGAAAACCATGGAATTCAATAGGATGTCCTTTCTTTTTCACATCACTTTATGTTGTGTCTGAAACTGCTCACTCATTTACTATATAGTGAATCCCACACAGTTAAGTATATGAAGAAAAAACTACTGACGACAAATAAGTGAAATGAGACACAGCTGTACACCATACTGCATATTGTGTTAGATTTTATATACATGTAAAATGTCCTGTCAATTGGTCAAAGTAAATGTCTTTTTATATTAAATCATGTCTTTATTATTTCGTTAAACTATAACAGAAATGTAACGAAAAAAATAAATAAGCATTCAAAGTAAGGAAATAAATAATAGAAAGAAACAAATGAAATAACAGAATCTAAAATGGTAAGATCTATAAAGACTCAAGCACCCACCTGCTGCTGTCTCATTTGACTGAGACGTCAGCTTACAGCCACACCGACTGCAGAAGTTTGGTGCCTTTTCCAAAGACACATGATTGCACTGAGGACACTTCATTCTCTGGTAAAGTCTGCAAAGAGCACAAGTATGAGGTAAGGGGTTTTACCCACTATTCCACAATATAATGATCACACACAAGTGGTCACATGACTTCTAAGAACTCCATATTGGTTTCAATTTCCATTTGCATATAAATCAAAGTTCACCATCTAGAAAGTGAATTTAGTAAACAGACTCTGGGAATCATGTGAATGAAAGAAAACAGCCTACACTTTATATAAGTGCAGATATCCACTTTAAAATGAAATAATAAGGTATTTAAGACACACTCTAATAAATGCCTGCTACACACAATTGTGTCCGAATATCAGAAGTCACTAGTTAAAATGCTTCTATTCTGCATTTTTCTAATTTAACACAAAATAACAAAAATTCGCGAAAATTTGTAATGTATAAATGAAGCATACATGAAAAAAGATAAATCTAAATACTATGAATTTAATTAGAATGGTTTAATATTCACGTCCCCTTTTTCTTTACTGACAGCAGCACAGGAACTGACATGAACAACCTGATAATCATGTTCTCTAGAATGATTTAAGAATGTTCCAAAGAGCATCTTGTGCTTCAATCGAAGTTTTAATCTGTACAATGGAGCTCACATGGAAATTTGTTATTAATTTATTGGGTAAGACTAGGGCTGAACGATTAATTGCATTTGCGATAATATCGCGATATGAGAAAACGAGATTTTTCAATCGCAGAGGCTGCGATTACACTCGGTCACGTGACACGCGAGAGTGAAGAGGTGTGTTCCACTTGAAGATCGATCGGTGTATGACATCAAAGTACGGCGAGAGAAAGCATAAGGAGAAGTCTGCGCTCTCTTATAGCTCTCGCAGTACTTTGATGACACACACGCATTGGTCTAAGCAGCGCTGCTTCAAGTCAAGCGCGGGCCATCAGCAGAAAAAGAAAATAAATGAAGCGACCGTTGCAAATCATTTGAACTTTGTCAGTACGTCATAAATAGAACAAGGCATCAGTTTAATGTCGCGCCGCATCCAGTGTACACAGCGTCACTGATTATAACGGTTCTACTCTATTTTGCCGCTCGCGTCCGGTGTAGACACAGTCTTTAATGTCGTTGGTGAGGAGGCAAGCCTGTGTGTGTCCTATGCCTTAGCGGACAGCATGAAACCCACAAAAAAATAAATAACAGAGAGAATAATAATAACAGTTATTCTCTCTATGCAATTTTTCAATGTTTCAAGTGATGCAGGCGTTTTTTCCCTGTAGGTTTTTTTTAATTAAAAAAGCATTATTTTTTCATAATGTTTAGTGAAATTATTTGGTAGTCTGAGGTGGAATGGGGATTCGGGAAAGGGGGGCAGATTTTTTTTATAGGAGGGTGCGACCACAAAAATTTGAGAACCACTGGTCCTATCTAATAGTGTGTTGGTCATACTATACAATGATTTATAGCTTGTCTTTGTTGAATAATACAGAACATAAAAAGCTTTAAAAAATAATTGCATATTAAATCGCAATATTGGTTAAACAAATCGCAATTAGATTATTTTCCAAAATCGTTCAGCCCTAGGTAAGACCCATGTTATGGCTTATAAATAATGCATAATCTCATTCCTATTCATTTTACATGGTTTTTACCATCTGTATTCTACAAACGTTTTTTTCTTTTTTTTGTACTGGTAATGTTTTTAACATTACATGATCATTATTCAAAATTCAAACTTTGGATAAGCATTCTACAAACACTCTTCATTTATTTTTAACTACCTTATTGTTCGTACTATTGTTTTTTTTGTTGTTGTTGTTTTTTTTGTTGTAGTATATTTGTATATATGCGTCACCGTTGTTTCCTGAAGGAACTATGTTTTGCTTTTAACCATTGCCATGCAATGTGCTAAAAATTACAATAAAGTTGACTTTGACTTGACTTTGACATTGAAACGCTCTATATTCTGCATGAGTCATACTGGAATCCACTGTGATATGCACATACCCGACATTCACTGACCTGGACATTATTATGATTTTTATTATATGTTGCTTGTAGGGGTGCGCCGATCCGATATTCAAACATACATTTCCACTTATAAAAATCTTGGGGGAAAAAAGATCTTATTCTTAAATCTGAACGTTGAGTCATATGGAGGACATGTTAAACTATAAGAAACACATATCATGCCATCTCAGCATGTTTTTATGATTGAATAAAATAAATTTTTTATACACATTTGTATTGACTAGTTTCAATACAATACCATAATATACTCAAAAGAAATGTGACCAATAGGTGGCACTGTGATCAAATTGATGAAGCATGGTCAATGTGAGGTCACAATGGCAAATACAAAGTTTGGTGTCAATATGTCAAAGCTTTGCAGAGATACAGCCTCTGATGCAGTTTGGCATCAATCCAGGAAATTTGTTGATGCATTAAACGATAACCATTTTGTATATCGACACGAAATCCATAAATTTCGTCAGCATGGTCTGAAGATGATCTGAATTGAAAAATCAGATAAACTGTCTATGAGGAGTTAAAAAAGTAGGTTTTCAACATAAATGAAAATGGGGGACATTAGGTTTGGCTGACGATGGCAATATTGATATCTATTTTCTTGACATAACTCAAGGAACATTTTGAGACCAGTTTCATCACAATAGGCTAATTATACAAAAGTTATTAGCATTTTTGGAAATTTCATTATTATTGGTTAATGGCTTAATATGAATGGTTTATCACATTTGACCAAGGTGGCGCTGTTTCCAAATTGATGTGGCGTGGTCAGTGTAAGGTGACAATGGCACACACAAAGTTTGGTGTCAATATGTCAAAGCTTTGCAGAGATACAGTCTCAGACGCAGTTTGACATCATGCCAACAAATTAATTGATAAGTTATTCAAAAACTGTTTGCTCTATCAAAAATCTTTTGATAACTTTTTGCCAGCATGGTCTGAAGATGATCTGAGTCAATTTTGGTGAAAATCAGACAAACTGTCGAACTAGTTCGAAAAAGTAGTTTTTTTTTTAACTATTAAAATAAGTGTCATTCGCTCAGTTATGTAATTTTTAATGCAAAGATGACATTGTTTGAGATGTCTTTGTTATGGGCTATGGTTAGGGGTAAGGGTAGGGGTAGGGTTAGGTTAGGGTTAGGTCAAATAATGTCATATTTGCATTAAAAATGACAACTGAGCGAATGAAACTTAATGACAGTTGTCATAAACATGCATAAAACCTCCTTCATATTCATGACATGTGTCATGTCATGATTATGAAGGTGTCATGTCAGTCTTATGCACACCCCTTCAAGTAAAGTGTTACCAAAAAAACTTTGGTTTTATTTTTCAGCTTGATGTTTATACAATCTCAAAGACTCATCTCCTGAGCCACTGCACAAAGGAACAAAGTGTAACCAACACAATAAATCAGTGCAAATAGTTTTAATAAAGCTCAAATAGTCTTCAGTTTACGTCATATGACCCCTTTAAGATTCACAAATACCAAAACAACGTGTCTACACCAGACGCGAGCGGTGCTATGTGACAAAAGCAAATAGAATCCAGTGATGTTCTCTGCTGTGGATGTGTCGTGATGCGACGCGACAAATCCATGACAGTAAACTGATGCCTATTATCTATTTCTGATGAACTCCAGCGCTCTGACACAAAGGACCAATTCAAATATTCATAAAAGAATCGTGAAAAAATAGTTTCCTCAAAAATGTTAAGCAGCACAAATGTTTACAACATTGATAATAATCAGAAATGGTTACTAGGGATGCACCGATACCGATACTGGTATCGGGCCCGATACTGAGCTCCTGTACTCGTACTCGTTAAAATGCC